GCAGAAGCCCGTGCAGGTGACGAGATGGACCCCAGATCCAACAGATGAAGCCAAAGTTGCTTGGTGGCTCAAGCGATTCGGTCTTCCCGAAATTTCCAGACCCGAAATGTGGCAGAGATGGGCAGGCTTTACCGACGATAGACCCATCCCTGAGGAAAGAAAGCTATATGATCTCGTTTTTGATATCATCAAGCGCGAGGTTCTCAAAGAGAAAAAGTGCTCGTTCAAAGAAAAAGGTGTTTGTGATTGCCCAAACTGTTCTTGGTGAGCTGGACATTATAAAGAATACGTTTCATCATATATGTCATCCTGTCAATCTCCAATGTATGCAATTCTGGTCTCGTTCTAACACTATCAATATTTATACAAGCATGTACATAGTCATTCGACAAAATTCATCCCTTTTCAATAGTATCTCGTGCATAATAGTGTCCAAGTCGCATATAAGTGTCCATTTTTTACATATACTCTGAAACAATGGTTTTGATAATGGAGGGACGCTGAATACAGCTCATATCGTGGCACTGATATATCCAACTGTTTTTAATATCGTTGCCACGGCACCCTAATCAGTTTTGATATCGTCAGAAACGACGACCTGTTTTATGTTCTCTTTCTCCCTTCTTCTTGAGGGGGCGAATCGCCCAAGCCACCAATTGTATCGGTGCTTGCCCGCGGAATCCGGATACCAATCGATAGTGATACGCTTTTCGGAAGCTATCGCCAAAACTTCGTCGCTAACAGGGATGTAAATGGATTTGAACCAATGCGCAGAAGTCGGTGGATCGTCAGACTCTGTGTCTTTTGGAAGGTTTCGCCAGACAAACTCGATTTGGTCCAGAGACGGCTGGATTCCGCCGAGATAGTGAACGAGATCTTCTTCCTCATCAGGGTCATATTCGTCGTTCTCTGTGATAGCTAATTTTCGCAGTCGTGGGAGATTTGCCACTAGGGTTTGGTAATGTGCTCGCATTGTAGCCTATATTGGGTCAAGCCTTTTAGTTTCGACAGCCAATTCAAACCCAGACGAGACATACCGTATCCGGCAAAGTATCATCGTCCCATATACTGCACAAGGCAAACTTTAGTTTCACCAAATTGGGAAAGGCTTCAGGAATCCAATGGAGACTGTATTTGTCCTTGTCTGCCTTCGCGCCGTGCCAATTAAAGTCCAGTTCCGTGAGGTGCGGGTATCGGCCTCCGAGTGTATATCCAGTTTGGGCGTTGCAGTATGTTGTCGTGACGTGTCTCATCGAGGGTTGGGCCATCAGGTGAGTCGAGAACTCGCAAAAGTGTCTTGTCCTCAAGCGAGAGAGCGCCTCGGGCCA